AATTACCTACGAAGTACCTTTATATATTTTTGACAATTTATCCAATTTGTGTACCAATTATGGTACATAATTTTATAAACATTTTCGTTTAAGTTATAACTTAATGTAAATTTTAAACCACGTTTTCCTATTGTTCAAGCATTATTTCATACCCAAAATTCTTTTTACCCATTGAATCATACAATGCCTCACATACAGGTAACCCTCGAGATATGAGGGTTCCTTTAGCGAATTTTCATCAGAACGAATTTATTCAGAAAGGGTACTTATATTAGAAATGCAAAACTGCGATAAAAAATAGACCTCTGTACCATGTGACTTGCATTCAATCACTGCTGCAGTGGCTGCCATTTTTAACTCTCTGAGTTTCCTGTGCTGTTCGGAGTTAGGATGCAATTTCCTTGAAGCTGGCAATTGTTTTGTTTCTCCCTAGTCACATGGCCAAACAAGAGCCAGTGATTTTTGCAGCTAGTGCGGCACTGAGTTTGTTTGTATTTTCTTGGTGCTGCATGGAGGATCTGCTGCTGCCTGGGCTTGAAAACTGGAGTGCTAGAACTGTTTCTGTAAATGTTTTGAAATATTTTTTTTTGTTACTCTATTGTACTGTATACTCTATTGCACAGTTTGTTTGTAAATACTTTGGGAACTGCTCTACTTCTTTTAAGTACTGTACAATACTTTGCAAACTACAGTATTGTGTTTGTAAGTACAGTTCTTTGCAAAGATAAAGTTTATTTGCATTTGTTTTGCAACTGCTTGTAGAAATGCTAGCCAGCATCTACACAAATCTCTTTTCTAAACCAGGGGTTGCCAACCTTTTGGACCTCAGGGACCACCAAACTCATAATTTTAAATCCCAGGGACCACTAACCAGTTCTGTGGCTGTGGCCTAATTTGTGGGTGTGGCTTGGTAGTCATGTGACTGGCTGGGCATGGTTCATATGTAAATAATATAAATATTTATATAAATATTGAATTTTTTTTTATAAAAAAAGAGCAACTTTTATCCAAAATCAGGCAAAGCAGGCAGGCAGATTGAGTTTCTCACAGAATCATTCAGTGATCTATATATCTGCCATCAGCTAGCTCAGACTCTCAAATTTGCTTGTGGTAAGTCTGCACATAGAACCTTCAGTCCTAAGGGAGGTTCAGCTGTGCTTAAAAGCAGAGCCAAAAATCTAAAGACTAGCTAGAAAGTAAGAAATCCAACCATTTCCTGCTTCCTATCTAATCTAAATCTCCAGGCACAGCAGAACAGATGATGGTCAGAAAAAGGAAAAACACTAGAGGCTTTTAAGAAGAGTCTGGATAGGCATTTATTAGAAATACTTTTTGTGAGAGCAGTGGGTTAGATTAGATGACCTTATGGTCCCTTCCATCTCTGTTACTATTACAAGCCAAGAGTTCTGTAAATCCCCCCCTCATCTCGCTCCCTCCCTCCCTCCCTGGCTGGATATTGTTAATTAGTGGCAGGTGGGTTTTTTTAAAGAAGCAACTGCAATTGGAGAGTTCTGTACATTACTGCCCCATCCCCCTCTGGGCAGCTGTCTGAAGATTCTTCAACTGATCAGCAGCAAGAGGGTTTTTTTTTTTTAAACTGCAAATGGAGAGCTCTGCGAGCCTGCTTGGAGGCAATTTAGTTCCTCCTCCTGGGGAAACAGCTGATTGGCAGTCCTGCGGGAAGTAAGTCAGATATTCATTCATTTAATGAGCCATTTGATTCAATTAATGAATTTGATTTTAAAAATTGAGTCTGATTCATCTGATGAATTTTTTGACTTACGAATCTAATGGGCAGGCTCCATTTAGGTTCACCATGATTAAAAAGAATTATTTGAACATCAGTCCACCAGTCTGGCCTCATCATTTTTTTTCCTAAAAAGTTCCTGGAGTGATATTAAAGAGGCATCTTCACAGAGAACCTTACTTTATTATTCCAAATTCTTAGGATGGCACGTTTTAAAAAGTGGCTGTTGAAATCAACACTATTTTAACCTTATACAATAAGTAGGCATACCATCCAAATATTAATTGACGCCTCCAAATCAGGTGACCTCTTGATTTGGGTGGAGAGTCATCTGTCCGTTAAGCCAGCTCAAACAACAAACATCAAAATACAACTTCAAATGTTGATAAACCCAAACCTCCTCTTTCTTTAGCATCTTGTAGGAATTTATTTCTAACTCTTGGTTTTTTTGCCTTGTCATATAAATTTAGAAATATTCATTTGTCATTGTTTAAATGGAGTATCAGTTGTAAGTATTGATAAAAGTCTGAAATAAAAACATCTTTGGTAAAACACTCATCTTACTGACAGAGATTATATCCAATAAAGATAGTTGTAGTTTATCCCATCTTAATAGAGCTTTTTTGATATCATTCCACAGAAGTACAAAATTCTTTTAAAACAAATTGGAATTTGTACTTGTCAGTTATTCCAAGATATATTCACCTTTTCATCCACCTTCTGGTCAATATTTCATAGTCCTGAGAGGTCATATTCTTAAAAAGCACTGTTATTTCTGTTCGTTTATTTTGAAGCCTGCTAAAGTTGTAAAGTCATTTAGTTTCTTCATCAAGTATTCCATGTCAGCTTTTGGATCTTACAAAAATATAAGTCATGGGCAAATGCTCTCAATTAAAAATGCTTTTTAATATGTTGTCTGTTATTTTCTCTTCTGGGCCTCAGAAAGGCAAAAAATGGAGGGGGGGGCTGAGTCCCTCTCTCCATTTTTTTGCCTTCAGGAAGAGGAATCCCAACACACCTGATCGTATGAACAGCTGATTGTCAGGAGGGGGAAAAAAAGAAATACCTTAAGAGGTGAACGTTAGGCGGGCGGGGTGAGTGAGCATTGGGTGGGCAGGGCAAGCGAGCCAGCAGACTGAGTGACCGGGTTGGGGGCATGGCCATCCAGAACTTACTACCAGTTCAGCGACCCACGCCAAATCCTTGCTACCGCTTCATCCGATCCGGTGCAAAAATACAACCACTGATTTTAATGATTCAATAATATTCAAAATATTTTTGCATTGTCTCTTAACTGTCTTTGTGGCAAAAAAGCCAGACTGATTTTCATAGATTTTTGCCTGTAAAACCTTCTTCAACCTTTTTGGCAATATTGCAGCAAAAAGTCTATAGTTTTTTATCCTCCGAACATCTTGACCCTCCTTTGATAGTAGCGTAATATTGGGTTCTTTCTAGGTTTGAGGCATCTTTTATTTATTTACTTATTTTTATTTATTTATTTGATTTGTCAATCACTTACAAGATAAGAGGTATAAGTATAGTTATGGAAACATGAAATGGATACATATAAGAAAAATAAAAGAAACAATAGGACAGGGATGGTAGGCATGTTGGTACGCTTATGCACACCCCTTACAGACCTCTTAGGAAAGGGGTGAGGTCAATAGTAGACAGTCTAAGGTTAAAGTTTTTGGGGTTTGAGGAAGAAACTACAGAGTCAGGTAGTTAGCTTCCTGTAGTACACCATTTAATGACTGTAGGAGTTGGTCCTCAAAATATTTATAATACTGACTTGTGAGACAATCTGGGACCTGGGCTTCACCTTTTTTTTAAAATTAATATTTCAAAGGCAGTTACTGAATTGTTCATAATAGTTTCCGAGCATGTGAAAGTTTAGTTGTGTTCACTTTATGAATAATTACCTATTTTTTGTGTATAAAATTCCACCTCTTGTAAAGGTTGGAATAAAAGTTATAAAAGAACATTTTGATGAAGTTACTGTGAGTACCATACTTCATAGATTTGCTCTACCATATTTTTTCTTTCCTTTCTTGATTTATGCCAGCTACCTTCCTGATTTATATGCAAATTCAAAATGTTTTTGTTTCACATAATTAAATTTGGATTCTATTTCCTGAATTGTTAACATGGACAATTATTGACATAGCAGTTTAAATAGGTATAAGGTTTCAGAATCCATTGTTGTCTTTTGCAAAATAATTTATTTCTAATTTCATCCAATAATTTTTGCAACTTTTCTTTTCTAGATGATTCTGTATTATAAAATAACCTCTCATGACCACTTTATTGGCATCCCAAACAGTTATTTAAATTATCTTTTATTCTTTGTTGACCAAATATGATTGGACACATAAGGAATTTGTCTCCATTGTGTAAGCTCTCAATGTACATACAAACAAAGAAATATAATCATACAACACCACTACTATAAGACAGGGGTCAGCAACCTTAAACACTCAGAGAGCGTGGCCAACTTGACGTCTCTCATTCCCACCCAGTCACATGACCCCTCCCAGCGACGCTTACCAGTTGTGCTCCCTGTGTTTTCTTTTCTGTGGAAAACAGCTCTCTCTCCCCCCCTTCTCTCTCTCTCCTCTTCTCTTTCTCTCTCCTCCCCCCCCCTCTCGTGTGTGTGTGTGTGTGTGTGTGTGTGTGTGTGTGTGTGTGTGTTCCCTCTTGAATCATTTCCAAAAACAGGCGAGGGTTGGGTTTGTTTTTTTGCTGATGTTGTTCTTCCTTTTTCTTTGGGTGCTTTTTACTATATGATTTAAATCAAGAGTCAATTAAGGTTCCCAGATAAATGAAGCTCTTTTATCCCCCAGCAATGGCTGCCTGTTGGCTGAACCCACCATAGTTGGCCCTGCTCCTCGTCCTCCCCTCCCAGTCACTCCTCACCTGGCCTGAGAAGGTAAGGGCAACAGCGGGGGATGGAGACTTGCTTCACATTGTAATGGGCTCCAGGAGGAGGATGGGATGCCATCTCCGCCATTGTGAAGTACACTAAATTTAACTGTTGTGCAAGGCACTGCAATCAATGTCCCTCCTCCTTCTGGAACCCATTACAATGCAGAGCATCGCAGTGGAGAGCAAGTCACATGTCTCCCTAAGCGACCAAGGTGTGTTTCAGCACCAAGGGCCGGAAGAAGTGCCCGTGAGATGAGGTTAGTACAGGGGCGCTTTGCTCCTGCTCTAGAATATGGAGCGAGTCTTCATCCCCCACCGTCGTCCTTACCTTCTCAGGCCAGGAGAGGAGTGACTGGGAGGGGAGGGTGAGGGGCAGGGGCAGGGCCAGCTAGTGGTGGGGTCAGCCAACAGAGCCACAGCAGGGGGACGAAAGAGCCGCATGCAGCTCTGGAGTTGTGGGTTGCCGGCACCTGGTATAAGATAATAAGATGAGAAGGATAATAATAATGCAGTCATATTACATAAGTAAATTTCCTTAGACATAAGACAGTGCTGTGGGAATTAGGTGTTCAGGAGAGAGATGGCATGAGGGAAAAAACTGTCTTTGTGTTTAGTTGTTTTGGCATGCAATGCTCTATAGTGGCATCCTGAGGAGAGGAACTGAAACAGTTTCTTAACCCTCTTTCTGGCTTGTGCAGTACATAGGTCTTCAATGGAAGGCAGGCTGGTTGCAGTTGTTTTTTCTGAAGTCCTAACTAAGTCTCTACTTGTCCTATTTGTTTCCTACACCAAAGCAGGCAGTTATAGAAATACAAATGTCTGACTTCTGGTGGCACTTCTGTTGAGGACGGATGGAGACCGTGATTGTGCACAGCTTCAATCCGTGCTTACCCTGTTGGACGGGACCGGAACCAGCAGACCCACCTCGGAGGGGTGGGGAAGGAGAGGGAGACCGGCAGCCAAGGTGAGGGGAGCTGCATCTCCCCTCCCTGGCTTGGTATACTCCTCTGCAAGATAGGGATAAGCAGCAGTTTTAATGGCTGCCCTGAAGACGGGAAGCTATTGGGACTTAAGTGTGTGCTGGAGCGGTGAAGTAGTGAGCAGTGTGTATCCATATAAGAGAAACTGTTTTCTTTGTTTCAATAACCCTGAAAAGCAGAAAGAAAGATTCCTCACTTGAGAGTTTAACAGTGGCGAATGGAAAACAAGAGGACAATATAAGGTAAATAAAAAACTGGACTACAAAGGAGCTAAAGCGAAATTAAGGATGGAATTGGGAATAATATACAGAACCTGGCATCAATTAGGCATTGGATAAAATGCTGAACTTGCTTGAAATTGATTATACTTTTTTAAAAAAGCCAATGGTTGAAATGGTTGAAAATTAACATTAGTATAATTGAAAAAAGGGAAAAAAAGAACTTTGAAAATTGGAAGCGATATAGAGCGCCACCTAATGGTACAAGACATTTTTTCCTGGATGACTTTATGGAAAATTACTGGTCTTTTAAATGCATGAATGAGAAAAGATATGAAATAAAAGACTTTATCACAACAAGAATCCTGGAAGCTTAAAAGAAACAGGGGGAGATTACAGCAAGAGGATAAATGAAGATAACATCTTGGGACTGTTGGGGGTTGACTGTGCAAAGGAAATAGAAGGACCAATAAGGAAAAGAGAAACAAACTGAGTCTCTTGGCAAGGATTACAATTAACTTTAAGATAAAGAATAACTCAACTGATTAAAAAAACGGAAGAAGCAAGCAAATAATTTAAGCTGGAACTGCAAACAGTGAAAGAAATGTTAAAAGAAAGAAGGTGACTATTGGTCATACTGGCAGAAAAAGTAATGCAATTTATAGCAGAACAAAGGAACCCTAGAGAGGAGGAGTCAAAGGAAGAAGAAAACAGACCAGATGGACATGAAGATTTAGAGACATTGCCAAAAGACACAAAAAGAATTAAAACTAAGACATTGATGACAGAGATAATAAACAAAAGAGAAAACGTTCCCAAGAGTAAACAAAAGAAGAAGCTGTACAGGAAGAAATTTCAAAAAAGAGAAAAGGGAAGGGTGGGAGGAAAGATGGATGATTGGCAGATGGAAATAAAAGTAATATTAGAGAAAAAAAGAGAGATAAAGAGGAAAGGCCAGAAAAACTTAGCAAAGGAAAAGCTGGCTAAAACTAAAAGAAATGACAAGGCCGAGAGATTCAGAGATAAGGGTTAGACATAGCATAAAACATGGGAATATATCTTTGTATTTTTTATTAGAAATGTAGACTGGGGAGATTTGAAGTTTATAACTTACTGGAAATTACCTTAGGATTATTAGATAATTATAAATGAGAAAAATGAAAATTGAGTGAGCGATATTAAGAGGGTTTTATTGTTATCAATCCTTTCATATGTGTATGTACACACACACACACACACACACACACACACACACACACAGACACACATATATATATGTTTTCTTAAGTTTTCGTGGGTTTTTTATATGTACGGTATTCAGCTTTGGTCAGGTATTTTCCCACGTCATTATAGTTGTGCTTTTAAAGTTGTAGCAACGTTTAGAAATTAGAACATGACAAGAAAGCCCCCAACAAATCACAACAACACCTGAAACAATTAGTATACAACGTTTTCAACAGAGAACTCACCAAAACAGAAACAGATGTCCTAACCAAAGGATTTAATTATGCTATAGCACCCCCAAAAATCCCCACAGAATCCATCATATGTGGAGCGGAATCCAGCCTAACTAAATTAAATATAGATGAAGCTGACAGAATAAGACACCACATCACTAACATCCTATGCACAAGCAAACCACCCAAGAGCAACTTGCACAAAGAGTGCCTGCAAGCACTCTTGCATATCCTGCATATCCAGTGCCTAAAAGCCCTACAAGCCTTAAGGAACGACAGCAGCATAATCATACTTCCAGCAGATAAAGGTAATGCCACAGTAGTAAGAGATAGAAAAGACTATGAAACAAAATTGACAGACCTACTCCAAGATTCCACATACAAACCCATAAACATGGGCCCAACCACATATCTGGAAAAAATAACCAAGAAGAAAATTATAACCAGCCACATGAGCAAAGAGATCCAACAGACAATCATTCCAAGAGAAAAATCTTCCAGATGCCCCAAACTATATGGCCTCCCAAAAATACACAAAGAAGGCATACCTCTCAGACCCATAGTCAGCTCCAGAGGAGCACCACTACAAAACCTAGCCAAATACCTAGCAAAGCAGCTACAGCTCCATGCTGAAGCAGCAGCTTCACATGTACAAAACTCATACCACCTCTTGGAAATGATCAAAGATCTACACATGGAACAAAAAGATCTGCTTGTAAGTTTCGACGTGGTTTTACTATACACTCAAGTCCTGATAAAAGAAACTCTCGAAATCATCAAAAATAAATACCAACCACCCAAACACCTCGTGGAACTAACAGAACACTGCTTAACCAACACATAGTTCATATATAAAGGACAAAGATACAAGCAAATTGAAGCAGCCCCTATGGGATCACCACTGTCACCCGTCATTCCACACATGTTCATGGAAGAATTCGAATCCAGAGCCCTAGCCAATGCCACCCACAAACCCAAACTATGGCTAAGATACATCAATGACACATTTGTTATTTGGCCCCATGGAAAAGAAAACCTAAACGATTTCCTAACACACCTAAACAGCACACCCCCCAAAATCAAGTTCACCATGGAAATGGAAACAAACAAACAACTACCATTCTTAGATGTACTAATCTACAAAAAAACAGATGGCACACTAGGACACACTATATACCAGAAGAAAACACACACCAACCGCTACCTCAACGCCTAATCCCACCACCACCCAGCACATATAAACTCTGCGGCCAAAACACTAATCGCCAGAACCAAACGCCTGGCAGACAAGACACACATAAAGACAGAACTATGCACCCTGACCAAAGTACTGACAACCAACGGCTTCCACAAAAGCAAAATCATTGGCTTTATCCACAAAAACACACTGAGACATAATGGAGACCTAGAAGATGAACAGCCCTATGGAACAGCTGCCCTACATAAGAGGTACTACAGACAAAATCAGTAAGATACTACACAGACATCAAATCAAGACTGCCTTCAAAACAGACAGAAAAATAGCAGCCATCCTAAGAAACCCCAAAGATATAATTGACCTGGAAAACCAAGGCATATACGAAGTCCCCTGTGCATCATGCCCTGCCACATACATTGGACAGACCAATAGAAGAATAAGTACCCGCCTGGATGAACACAAAAATGCAGTAAAAAAGCTGGAACATACTTCCTCACTAGTCCAACACATGAAAGCCACAGGTCATAGCATCAACTTCAATGGCACCAAAACCCTAGCCACTATAGAAAAACCCAGCTACAGAATTATCAGAGAAGCCATAGAGATTGAAAAAAGACCTGAAAGCATGAATAGAAGAGATTACTCCACCAGACTGTCAATTATCTGGAAGCCTGCACTCTCAAACAAAAAAAATCTCCACACCACAAACCAGCCAAACACCTGGGCACAAACAGATCCCCCCTGATACCTCCAGCTCAAACACACCCCAACCAGGCACCCAGATGAAACCTAGCTTCCTAATAAATGATAGCCATCCATTTACTCAGAGCCAAGCCGCACTAAAAGCCTCCAATACAGGTAACACAATGTTGCCAGCCAATCAAGACAAAAAAAAGCTACAAAACAGAGAGAAGATATTAGAAACACCAATCAAGCAGAACACAGCAAACTCCATGACCAATAAACACAGACCAAGACTCCCAACCAATCAGGATGAAGGCACAGTGTAGGCTAGCACCAAATTTAAAACAGAAACGGCTGTGAAAGACTGACTCACAGACAAACACAATACATAAGTCTGATGATGGCAGATGAGATTCTGCTGAAACGTTGCTACAACTTTAAAAGCACAACTATAATGACGTGGGGAAACACCCGAACAAAGCTGAATACCATACATATATACATACATACATATATACATATTCTAAAATATGCTAATGGCTATGTAAATGATATTAGGAAAACAAGAGAATATGATGATGGGTGAAAATATGGTATTATGTTCAAAAAGCACAAACACACCACAGAAACCCTGAACAGCAGAAAAAGACAACAATGCATCTAAAGCAGGGGTGTCAAACTCAGGGCCCGCAGGCTGGATTTGGCCTTTGGGTGCTTAAATCCGGCCTGTAGCTGGCCTGGAAATATCAAGGGACCAGCTTGCGGTGCTTCTGATAGCTAAAATGGGCTGTGTGCACCCCCCTGGAACCTCATTTTCCCCCTCTGTGGCCTCCTGCAGCACTCTACCAGCCAAAACCGGGCTGAAAAAAGGCCTGAAACATTGCCTGAAACAGACTGCTGAAGGAAAAATGACCGGAAAATGGAATGCTGCAGGAGGCCATGGAGGGCAAAAATGAGGCACATGGGGCTGCATGTGGATCCCCTGCATCCCGTTTTGGCTGGCGGGGTTCTACATCCATGTCACCCTCCTGCCTCCAGCCCACAAAGGAGAACTATAATGCTGATCTGGCCCTTGAAGAAATCCAGTTTGACACCCCTGATATAAAGTATCTATGCAATATCTTTCATTGAAATGGATATCTGTGCAACTTCATGAAAAAGTGCCTGACTATTCAACACAACATAGCACAACAATACAAGCTGTAAAAAAAGAATAATACTGTCATACAGGTGAAACTCAAAAAATTAGAATATCATGCAAAAGTTCATTTATTTCAGTAATGCAACTTAAAAGGTGAAACTAACATATGAGATAGACTCATTACATGCAGAGCAAGATAGTTCAAGCTGTGATGTGTCATAATTGAGATGATTATGGCTTACAGCTCATGAAAACCCCAAATTCACAATCTCAGAAAACTAGATTACATGCAATCAATAAAACAAGGATTGTACATAGAACAATATCAGACCTCTGAAAAGTATAAGCATGCATATGTACTCAGTACTTGGTTTGGGCCCCTTTTGCAGCAATTATTGCCTCAATGCAGTGTGGCATGGAAACTATCAGCCTGTGGCACTGCTGAGGTGTTATGGAAGACCAGGATGCTTCAATAGCAGCCTTCAGCTCTTCTGCATTGTTCGGTCTCATGTCTCTCATCTTTCTCTTGGCAATGCCCCATAGATTCTCTATGGGGTTCAGGTCAAGCGAGTTTCTGGCCAATGAAGCACAGTAATCCCCTGGTCATTGAACCAGATTTTGGTGCTTTTGGCAGTGTGGGCAGGTGCCAAGTCCTGCTGGAAAATGAAGTCAGCATCCCCATAAAGCTCGTCTGTGGAAGGAAGCATGAAGTACTCCAAAATCTCCTGGTAGACGGCTGCGTTGACCCTGGACTTAATGAAGCACAGTGGACCAACACCAGTAGATAACATGTCTCCCCAAATCAACACAGACTGTGGAAACTTCACACTGGACTTCAAGCATCTTGCAGTGTGTATGCCTCTCCATTCTTTCTCCAGACTCTGGGTCCTTGGTTTCCAAATGAGATGCAAAAGTTGCTCTCATCAGAAATGAGGACTTTGGACCACTGAGCAACAGATTAATTCTGTTTTTCTTTAGCCCAGGTAAGACGCTTCTGACGTTGTTTGTTGTTCAGGAGCGGCTTGACAAGAGGAATACGACATTTGAAGCACATGTCCAGGATCCGTCTGTGTGTGGTGGCTCTTGATGCACTGACTTCGGCCTCAGTCCACTCCTTGTGAAAGTCTCCAACACTTTTGAATGGCCTTTTTCTGACAATCCTCTCCAGTCTACGGTCATCCCTGCTGCTTGTGCACCTTTTTCTTCTACACTTTTCCCTTCCACATAACTTTCTATTAATGTGCTTTGATACAGCACTTTGGAACATCCAACTTCTTTTGCAATTACCTTTTGAGGCTTTCCCTCCTTATGGAGGGTATCAATGACGGTTTTCTGCACAACTATCAGGTCAACAGTCTTTCCCATGATTGTGATTCCTACTGAACCAGACTGAGAGACCATTTAAAGGCTCAGGAATCCTTTGCAGGTGTTATGGCTTAATTAGCTGATTAGAGTAGGACACTTTGAGCCTAGAATATTGAATCTTTTCACAATATTCTAATTTACTGAGATTGTGGATTTGAGGTTTTCATGAGCTGTAAGCCATCATCATCACAATTATGACAAATCACAGCTTGAACTATCTTGCTTTGCATATAATGAGTCTATCTCATATATTAGCACTTAGAAGATATTATGAAAACTCTTTAATTTCACAACATATGGGCAAATTTAACTGGAAAACTGTGACCATATCCTAGACCAAGCCAAATTCAAAAATACTAGAGAATTTCTGGAAGCCTGCTACTCTGACAAATTGGCCATCCATCAA